TTAGTCTTTAAGTCAATTTACGAGGTTTTTGTTTATACTTTTCCTTCAAAAATAATGTTTCTAAATGTAATTAAATTTCCTGAACAAATAATATTAACATTTAAGCAGAAAAGGTTTATGGCCTGTACTCTTAACTTTCACATGTAAATCACTCACACTTGTGTAAATACTGATATAAAATAAAGTGTTCCTTATAAATTAAAAATTAAAATATCCGTCTGTTTGTCTTATTAAAGCTGTTGAGATGAAATTTCAATAATTTCTATAGTCGCTTTAAGGTATAAAAACATTATTATTTATTTCCAATAAAAAGAAAATTTAAATCAATCCAGTTTATAACTATATTTAATATTTAAAATTCTATTGCCAATATAGCCAATATGTGATCGAGTATGCATATTTTACTGAAAATATACTTTCCAAAAAATTAAGAGCATATACAGAGAATCCGCACAGAAGTGCTAATTATTTCGTAAATTAACTTGCCATTTCTGTTACTTTCCTTATTCTTAATCTGAAGGATGCAATTTAAGATATCTTTTATTTCCTGTAATACTGCAAATTTAGAAATTCTCCTGAATCTTTAATGCTTTCTAGACAATCTTTTGCAACTCTGTCTGAAACCGTTAGCTGTTTCTATTGGCATATTCTATACTACATATAATGAAGTTCCGCTTAATGATCCATCAAAATCCGCTAGACAACTGTCAACAAAGGCCGCACTCATGCGAGTATTCACAAGTATTCAAATCTCAATCGCAGCCGCAGTAGCTGCAACTGGTAGGCAAAACAAACAGATTGGCCGGACAAGTTCAATATTGAACAATCCCTAGGTGAGGCACATGACTGATTGCTGTGCCCACTGCAGCAGGGCAAGTCAAAATTAGGAAGCCAACACACACAGAACACACAGCATACACAGGCACACACACACACTTGTGAACATGAGGTAGATCAAACTAGCAGGACAATTGGGAAACTGTTTTCACTCCTTCATGCTAAATTTGCGACCAACAGAGCAAACAAACAGAGCTGAGGTCCCGCAGGACGTCTTGGCATGAGGCAAATGTCTTACACAGATGCACAGCAAGTGGCAAGGACATCTTGGCTACTCGTTCAGCATTCGGTAGTCATAAACACTAGCTGGAGGACAATGCTTGACTGTGAAGTCAGGCTTCCTAGTATTCCAGTTAACCGAGACTTCTGGGCACGTCCTAGTTACAGGATTCGTTTTTTTTTTTTTTTTTTTTTTGTAGGAATTTTATGATTCTCTGTGAATGAATTCGACTGCTTGCATGCACTTAAAGTTTTATAGCCTCCGATGATGATCTGTACACAGATTTAATGCTCGAGTCTTGACTTTCAAATGCCCGCCGAACAAATTTACAGCCCCCTAGTAAATCATTGGCTTGGATGTCCTCTCGATGTCCTGCTCGAGCACAACATGTGCTCCAGTTCAGCTGAAAGACTTTGCTACCATTCAGCCATTGAGTCTTTGATCCGAGTTTCGCTATTTGATAGATTTTGTTGCTGAATTCCGTTTATGGGGCACTAATTGGGGGCTTTGTATTTCCCATATTAACTGGAAACTGGATCTGGAAATTTTTCAAAAAGTGTGAAGATTTACTTTCACACATTTTCGCCTGTCTTTATTTCGATTTTCTATTTTTTGGCACTTCGAGTGAATCACTTTGTTTCACTTTGAAGTCCGCATAAAATTTGTGTTGAAATTTTTATGGGATCTATTAAGGAGATTTCTTAAGCTTTGTTTGGAACTTACCTGCTATTACGGCTATTATTATGGGTAGTATATATTATTTTTATAATAAATAAAAGAAACATACAAGTTGAACTCAATTGAGATATTCTTTGACTTGTCTTAGAGAATTTGAGTTTCAACATTTTCTTAAGTTAGTGTATAAAGAGTATTATCTCCAGACGATTTATGGCATATTCTTGTCATACAATATTTATAAATGATTCATGAACAACCAATATCTGGGTTTTGTATGTATTTGATTTATGTATATATATAGTATATATACATATACATATAGAATATATAACTCTTGTTGTCATTGCCAACAAAATAGTAAATTCATATAGAACAACTAACAAAGATTCGAAGTCGAGCTCAGGTGAGTATTAAGATACAAATTAGTTAAAAATTTATGAACCCCACAGATATTTCCTTAATTAAAAAAACGAAATGGCCAACAAAATCCTTTAGTCTAGCCTAGAAATCTCTGTGAAAATGTACGTTGTCTGAGGCTGAGATCAGTTCGAGTCAGACGGCGCGTCGTCTGGGAGACTAAAATATATATTTTCAATTTCATTTGTCATTTCGTTACGTTTGCTTTTAGCAGAGACTCTGGCGACTGAGACAACATAAAAATCGCGCCAACTTTCAACTGGGCAAAAAGACGTTCCCCAGACTTTGATGGATCCGCCGGCTGGAAAGCTGTGCGACTGTATGAGTGTTTGTGTGTGTGTAAGTATGTGTTAAGCGTCTCGCTTAAATGAAGTACCAAAAACTCAATTTATTTGCAATTAAATTGTGAAGCTAAAGGAAAATAAAGGAAAAAAACAAAAACACAATCTGCATCGGATTTGAGCGCTGGCCTTTCGCCTGCTTTGCATTGTCCGGCCAAAAACTTTGAACCCGTCGACAGCAGCAGCAGCAGCAAGAGCTGCTGCAGTGCACTTGGTGCCAATTCCCAGTTACCCAAAGTTGGCCCCTTTCCCAGTTACCAAGTTGCCGGGCCGCATCTTAGCCCACTTACCGGCAAGTGCGTTTGCGGCTCGAGCCCTTTGATGTTTCGGCTCACAGCCCCGCAGCCCCTCTCTACGTGAGTGTCTCCTGGCGTGATCTTTTGGCTGAACGTATTGCATCTCATTTGAAAGTCGGGGCGCTCGAACTGGCCGGTCGGCCGACAGGCTGGCTGGCTGGCTGGCTGGCTATATGTCATTGTAACATAAAAGTTCAATTTTAATTGCCGCGCTTGACGTGCTCAAGGTATTTGGCCTGGCATTTTTACGATCACTTTGGCAAATGTGCGCTTCAAAGCCATTTCAGTCAGCTCCAGCTGTGATCTTCAGCTACAGTATCAGCTACAGCTACAGCTACAGCCACAGCTATAGATGCAGATACATTTGCAGCTGTAGCTACAGCTACAGATACATTTGGAGTTCTGCTCGGCTCTGTTTAGTTTTTGGCTGCGAGTGACTTTTGTCGGCCACTTTGTCCAGTCACTATTGCTTGCCTGCTTCGCTCTCACCCCGTTGCCTTTCTCCACTGCCTTGGCTACTACTCACTCGCCGCACCCCTCGCTGGCCTTAGAGCTCTGCGTCAAGTCGTTAAAAACGTCAGCGTCCCCGTCAGACTCTTGTCTTTTGCGGCGTTTCGAGCATGGATTTTACATATGTTCATTTGTTTATATGACTGCAGCAGCAGCAGCAGCACAAGCAGCAGCAGCAGCGGCAGCAGCAACGGTAGAGACGGGGTGCCGGGCTGCGTGCCAGCGGGTCTCGTGGAGCAGATTGGCACTCAACTTAAGCGATTGCAAATCCGTAACTCATTCGCCTTCTCTTTAAATACGCGCAAAACAAATTTTTATTTCGTTTTTGTTTTCGTTTTGAGTCTTGAGTTTTGGGCTGGGTCTGGCTCTGGCTCTGGCTCTGGAACTGAGGATTTGTTGAGCAACCTTCACCGAAATCGCCGAATTGCATTATCTGCTGTGTTGCATGCCCCGCATTTTCCCACACGCGCGCCCAGCGATCACCGCTGAGATATTATCGGCGAGGGGGCGGCAGCTTTTGAGAT